TTTCGGAACAAGTCTCGCATTTGATACACCAGCAGAATACCCTAGAGACTAAACATGAAAACACTACATATTGTATTTGAGGCTGAACCCTCTGTATTGCAATTCCGGTAATTACCCCCATATGTACAACCATAAACCTCCTTGGTATCTCCCACCCACTGAATATTTTCCTACAATGAAAGATGGTCCATTTTTTTCAAAATAATTTCTTGTGAAGTGAGATGTAAAACCATACGACATTCAAATCCTTATGCCCGTCAATCATACCAGCACTGAATGCAGTGAGATCAAACTAGCTCACTTTTGTATATAGTAATGAGTATCACCAGATTCAAAAAAGATGTATAACGTTAATTATGAACTACAAAAACTGTGCGATACGAATACTAACTATTTTTTTCATACTCACTCGTTTTTGATTTAGATTTAATAGAATTATGTTTGTTATACGATTGTGTCCCGGCAAATGGAACTGAACCAAGTCCCGGTAGCAAGTGTGTTCCTTTATATGTTAGTGGGCTAAGCACAGGGATATCATATAGCAGTTCTCATCCCTTTTTGAAAGCCCAGGCACACATTTTTAACCATTTTGAAAGTGATTTAAGCCGAAATGAAACATCATTTGATGTGCTTTCTGTAACCAACAAATCACCCCCTTTTGAGACAATTGTCTTTTTTTCTAAGGGAATTTTTGGTGATCATCGTGCAATGAGTGTGATTCTTCAATTCGCGCGAGATCTTATCACATCACTTGCATATCTTATAAATCCTTTATATTCATTTTCTTAATTTATGAGCCTATTTGCATGTCGATTCAGTGAGAACAGTATATGATACCTATATCTGGGGAAAATGTTTGTGTCATTATTTCACTGAGCGATTTCGTTTGGGGATTGCAGATTAATATGCTTTGTTTACGTTTAAAATGCATAGTACGTTAAAAGTTATCAGAGATTGTAGCATATCATCAGCAATTATTTTCAATACTTTGAAGGTAGCTACGATAATGTATCTCCAGATTTCGACAGACAATAATATTCTGTATATTTTCTCAATATTTCTTTCTATATGTCAGCAAGCAACTAAAACGTAAATAAAAATACAACCGGACATAAAAGTAGAAACCACAGTCACCATGTGTTATCACATCATCGGGTATGAAGCTGTCAAAAACCTGCTAAGACTCGTTTCAACCATTGCAATCCAGATTTACAAATGAAATCGTTTGAATGTTCATGCTGCACATTCGCGTTCACACAATGCATTCAGAAATAAATTCCACACATGGGTTATTTTTTTTTTAGATTTCATTGAATTTTGATTCATATGAATAAATACAAAATATTCCTAAGACTATGTTGTAGAATATGCAACTGTTTTTAACTATCATATGTATTCTTGTGTAGATTTATTGATGAATATATCGGACACTAAGCTTTTGTTACAACTCATTTTAATGTGTTTTACAACACCTTGTCAGCAGGATAGGAAACTGGAGGAGGGGGAAATCAAAATACCTTCAATGTGCAATTTGAAGAAACAATGGCAGTGCAGTGTTGCCACAATGGTTGTCAATGTAGAACTTGTCATCAAATTAACTTTATTCAAACTTATCAACTGACTTTGCAATAGCAATGCTCTAGTCATAGTAATTTCAGAAAACATTGTTGTGCATGGTGATTTTCAGAAGCCAGTTATTTGTTAACCAAATTGTACATTTTATTTCCTTTTCTCAAAACATAGCGATCTGTCATCCTTGGCAATGTACGTGATATTTGATCTACGATCTATGTTACTGAACAATAATTAGCTACCTAGATTTAAAATCATATGTGAGCCCTTCTCATAATGCGTATTAGCGTCTTGCGTATAGCCATTTATTAAACCTAAAGAAGATTTTCTGTTAAAGGGCATAGAAAACAATTTGGACGAATTGGGATTAACCTTTGTTTTGTAACCCCTTGTTTTCTATTCTTATTGACAAATAAGCACTTATTAGAATTACAAAAATACACATGATGTCGTTTGAATGATGGTGCTTTTAATATACCCATTATATATATGATTGTCCTTATCAAGATATATAACAATGGTTTTTATTCATACCTGCATACAAACATCGGTTTTTACATAGCAGGAAGTCGAATGTACTTGATGAGCATGAACACTATTTAGGACATTATCAGTATTAGTGAGTCAGAATGCATACAAAATGCCCCCGTGTCTTGTTTTTCTATAAACAAATGTGAACTAGAATTAAATATGAGATAATTTGAAGTTTCATGCTGTAAATATACGACAATGATTGTTCTTTATACAGTTTCATGGTTTGCATATGATGTGAAAAGTGACACTAAATGTAAAATTCGACCAAAATGTTGAATCCTGAAAATCACTATTCCACAAGAATGTTTTCAAAAAGTACTATGGCATTATTAATTTAAATACAATTTACATGTTAGGCTCGTTGTATTTCAAAAAAGGTTTGTAAATACTGTACAGTTACAACCACTGTGGCAGTACATCGCTGCATTTGCTAATCCAAATATAAATTACACTCAATATAATCAAGCTCGCACAGACAAATATTCTGATTACCTCTGCTGTTAGCTCCAGTTTCCCGTCTTCTGACATGTTGTTGTGAAACGCACCAAAACGAGTTCTAACATGAACATCTGCGTATCATATGCACTCACGCATACAACGACAGACTACATGTTACGTGTATTTGCTAGAAATATTTCACAATATCTATATAAAGTAATGTCTTTTTCAGGATTCTAATTGAATTCACCAGATACAATAGTGTACGTGTCAGTTGCAGACAGACTATCATATTAAGTAGATTTTGTAGGATGAAGTAGGATTTTCTGCATACGTATATTGTATTCAGTAAGAAAATAAAAAAATGTACAGTTGTACATTGCATTGTCTACAAAATGTTGTTTAAAGACTTTTCACTGAATCACACACGAAATTCCCTGTTATAGACCATCAATATCTCAACCCAAATTTGATTTGCTAATTATTCAATTTAAAAGTATTGTTTTTACCATGTAAACGTACATTAACTCGTAATAAACACATTGATGTACTTTCATGGAGTAATCTTTTGGTTCCTTTTGTTATTAAATACGTTATGTCGTTGTTGCTATAGCTGTAATAGTAATATGAAACTTAATGGCGTCGTTTGTGTCGTCACTAAACTGCACCCTTTGATTATTATTAATGCTTGCGTGTGGATATATTCATATCTCACCATTCGTTGACAATAATATATCATGACACGTTTTTTCAATCGATTATGCAATATAATGCTCACAGTTCTACATATGTAACATTGGCTTATTCTTGCTCGATGACATGGGATGAAATGTCGTTTTTCATTAATATAATATTGCAAATGCATTTAAATTTTTTATTAGTGATTTTCTTAGGTTTGTAATAGTTTTCTCCCATAATTCATTGCGCATGCGTACAGTAACATGCTCAGTAGTGCAAAATTTAAATTCGGCTCGAGCTACCTTAATATTATAATTATGCATCTTTCCGCTTCACGTGATGTTAAAAACATTTTCAGATAATATCAATCCTGTATTCTTTCGTCTCATGGGCATCGTAATTACACACAATATTCCACTGTAAAAACATATCTACAAGAGGCTTTAATTTGTCAATCAAAATTATTTATTTACTTTTTTATAATCACGAGTAGGTAACTAAAGTAACTTGGACAAAAAATACCGCTAAGATCTTGTCGATAGCAAGAGTCATACAATACTGCTTGATTCTCTCAACTCCATATACCATGGTTACATAGGGAATTGAGTCCCAACACACGCTAAAAACGCGAAGGCTCATGGATAGACGCTTGTTTGTAAACAATGACACGCTATGGCCCAACTGACGCATGTGCAGGTGACGACTCCACCGCTTTAATAAAAGTAAAGGTCGTACAAATTGTTTCATTGTGTATAACTGAGATACTACAAGTCTATGCTGATGTATAGAATTTATCTGGAGTTATGTCACTATTACAACCTTACTCAACACCTCTGTACAGAAAACCAGTACAATTATCACATTCGTCCTTGCCACTGTAAAAGCTACTCCATCCCACAGATTCAGTAATTGTTTACCCTAAAAATGCTTTACTATTCTTGTTTCAAATTCACCTGGTGAACCCATCTTGAGTTGATAGTCATAATCTCGGCACATTGAAGACAGTGATTTACTAGTCATTGCCATGGAGAAACATTGACTGTCATATAAATTACGGAGATCTGTTTGGAGACAAGACTCTAGAAACCGACGTAGCAGCAAGATGTGACTGAAATGAGACATGCAATGATTCGCCATTAGCACATTGCAATAAGATTGTTGTATTGGCAATGAGCTTGTTCATGAATGATGCTTTATTTGTTTTATTTTATCTTGAACCAAATGAACTTATGATATATTCATAACATTATAGTGAAGTGTAATATTACCTTTGTGGGGCAGTAAAATCTGTTAGAAAGTCTTCTACGATGTGATGTATTTTTCTGGGTCTGGGTAAGACCATAGTCCTTGCTGGCGACTGTGACATCGCTTTTTCTGTGTGACAAATAACATGATACACTAATTTCAACTAACCCGAAACACACTGACTTTGAAATCATGTTTTCTAACATTGGAGACAATTACATTTGTAATGTTTTGATTTGCAGCTCGAAATTATTCAAATATGAATAAATTTATTGGCAAATGTATAATCACTGATAGGTAAATGAAAGGACAACTCTATCACATGAACATTAATTCACATTAACTTTCTTAATCATTGTGGAAGCTTTTGTTTAATCACCCCTCGACTAATTGAAGTAATAATTTCTATTTTGGTAATCCATTCAAAATCATCGAATTTTGCTTTTATTAATTAAAAAGAAATGATATTTAATGTATCAAACAGCATCTTCTACATCAGCTTGGATCGGCGTCATTTATACATACAGAAACGTATACCCAAAAGAGAAGGCTCGTGTCATTAGACAGGCATGTGAATTTACAGCTCAATGAAAAATTGCTTGTGTTGCAATTTTAGCCAATTAACCGCTTCAAGTCTGAAAAATGATGATAAAACATATATAATGGGGTGTAATTTGTTGATGAACTTATATTTGAAGAAAGTAGTAGGCTCTTACTTGATGGCAAGGCATCATAGTAGTATAAAACTGGGTGTAGAAAATACGAAAGATGAGCTTTTCCAGGAATACCAATAAACTGAACTAATATAAAATAAGAAAGAATATGCAGTTATTCAGTAACATCACTCATACAACATATATATTCTACTAACAATTCTATTCTATTTCTATAAAATGTTATATGCTGTACTATACCTTCCATAGATGAATTATTTACGAATATTCCGCGGAAAACACGTCTATACTGCATATGTCAAAATATCTAACTATATCATCACAGCCAAAGATACACTAAAATTATTATTACAATTCTCTTGCTTTGGTATTCTGAGATACGTACATTCAATACAACCACTATATCATACAATCATACGTGCATATCTGGACTCCAGGGCCAATCCAAATATAGGACTAATACCGTAGTCGTCAGTCAGTCATTTTGGTTAGTCGTTGCTGCCCAACTATATTGGAGCATGTCAGCCTCTCATCAGGCATACCCGTGAGGCTGTCTCCTAGCAATCAAGTGATGTTAACATATTATACCTTACAATAAATGTTGTAGGTACAACTACTGCGTGTCGTCAGGTTACAGTCACAATGTTTGAATTTGTCAACGTAAAACGAGAATGAACATTAACAACTATATACTACATATGTTGAGCCTCCTATTTGCGTTTAATTTTGTATTACGAGTGTAAAATATATGTTTATGAACCAGATAATTATCTCAAAATGCTCACAGTTTTTGTATTGTCCATACTCCATAACGATAACCAGTACTTCCTGAGCAGCATGTCCCGTCTTCTCATGTAACTGGTGAATCAGATTGATTGGGAACTCCTCAAGATATGTATAGGTTGTAGCATTTCTATGTCAAAACATAATACATATTATGCGCAGTAACATGATTTTAAAGATTGTTATTATTCCATAATCCAAGGCATTGTGTAGAACATCACTCTACGTTCATTGGCTTTGTCGCAACTGATTTGTTCATTTCGTGGCAACAATTCAACGCCAATTTTGTTTTTAAGTTAACATATATTATGGTTACTAGGTTTGTTTTAAGGTGTTATGAATCAGACTTGGGGAAACTATTTAAACAAGTACTGCTAGAATCTGCGATGAACAACGTATTCATAGAGAAAATATTTTAAATACAAATTAGCATTCAAATGAAAAGAATTGTGTCATTTGTAAACAGAATTTATTCGTAAATGTAGCAATTATATAACAACAGACACACCACATTATTCTTTCAGGTTCAATAAATCCTTGTCATAATCTTCTCTGAAAACACGACACTAACGTGGGTGTTTGCCCAGCCCAGCTATCACGCAATAAAGAGCAGTGCGTTGACTTGTATTTTCCCCATTTTGATCACACCGAGTTGTGTTTATTTGTATTTTTCATTTTATTTGCATATGGTTGATGTAGCTGATGTTTTGTCACTTACATTTTCAGACTGCTTGTTTATTATCTTAGGAAATAAGACATCTAATGTTTGGAGTCAGATGAGTGCGAGGATTTATCGATATTATTACAAATGTGTTACTTTTGTGAATGGAATCGATGTATACGATGACAATAAAACTGTCGATTAGATAAAGTACGCCACTTCGTTACCCTCGGGTCATATAAACAAACGCACATTCTATGTATACGATGACAATAAACCGTTAACTGTCGATTGGATAAAGTATGTCACTTCGTTCCCCCCGGGTCATATAAACAAACGCACATTCTATATTAGTACTATTAAATGGATGGAAGTCTAAAACATTACTACTCGTCAGTTCGGTGGCGAAGTAACAATAAATAATATTCACTTACTTAGATAATATGACAACATCGCCGAGAAAACCATACATGTGATATGTTCCAGAAGCTTCATTGACACGTTTAACAATGTGATTTAATAGTTCTGTTGTAGGTTGTGTAACAGATGGCCAAGAGACATTGTGATTTCGAAATTCCAATATTCTGCTAAGTACCCGAGCTGTTAAAAGATATAAATACGTGTTAATCGTTTATAATTCTCGCATTTAAATTAAATTGTATCAATGAATCTTATTGTATGCTCACATGGTAAAAATAATTTTATAGAAAGAACAATGTATCTGACCTGTATATCTGAAACCATGTATAAATCCACCAGCTGATTTTTTGTAGTCTAAAGAATGAGTATTGGTGCCAGTAAAGAATAATCCTGGTACATTGACAGCCTCATAACTGTGGGTAATTGCAGGATACTTCTCTTTCCCTTTGATTATACCTGGCTCAACCTGTACACCCCTACAATAGACATGAGTCAGTCAAATAGCAAGATTTGTTGTACTTAAAGTAAATCCGACATCATGTTATGTGCCACATGGTTCTGCAAGACCCTTGACACATCGACAGAATAACAAAGTGGTCGGTCGTGTTTTTAATCGGAAAACCACTACTTATAAATATGAGGAATATGATCATGTCATTCAGTGTTCATTATACACTCCGTCTGAATTCTATAATAACCGGATATGTTAGTTGAACATGACTTTATTATGTAATATTTATGTGTGTAAACGATCTAGCTGGGTCACGTAAATAATAATGAATGTTTGATTGAGCTGAGTCTCAAATCGTTTCTACAGTTTCCAAGAGATCTAGATATAGAGATACAGTCGGCAATGAAGAAAAATCTGGATACAGTTGACAGTTTAAAATACTGTTGTACTCTAATTGGAGTAAACCGTGTTAGTAAATTTGTACGAATGACAATATACATAATAACAATTTTTCCGAATCCACATTCAGCTTTCCTTATTCTCCCGAAAAAACGAGAAAATCTTTTGAAATACACCACGTCAGCCTGTCCA